TTTTAATCCGGGTTACAATAATCCACACTTTTAATCCAGGTTACAATGATCCACACTTTTAATCCAGGTTACACTCTTCCCTCAATGATGCATTTTACAAAGTAGCTACATACTGTGCAGGTATAAAGATACATTTGTATATATTTTTGTGTATATTTATTTTTTTAAGCTATTTGACTAACTTTTATTTTTATTATTCAATATTTTACTAACACAATAGTCAAATAGCAACCTGTTTTTGTGTGAATTGCTGTCAGTCAAATGTTCAATTTTGGAATAAAAGGGTGGAAATTAAAATGTTGTTTTTTTTGCCGATGAATCGATGAATCGAAAAAATAATCGGCCGATGAATCGATTATTGAAATAATCGTTAGTTGCAGCCCTACCCTTCATAAACTCCACTAATAACTTATCTGATTATTAAAATCCTTGTATTATATTATTTTATTTAACCTTTATTTTACCAGGTAAAGTCCTGTTGAGATTAAGAACATTGTTGTTGTTACATATAGTCAGTTAGTGAAAATGAACAGACGAGAAATTATGACATGCAGTTCAGACACGTGTTACCTGAGCGTTAGTCAAAGGTTCTTTGTCATTCACTTCACATGTGGTACATGTGGTGGAACAAAATTGTGTACACAGGGCCCCAGTTACATCCAAAAAAAGTATAAATTGTAAAGAAAAACAGTAATAGATCTAAGATATGAATAAGAAATATGCTAAACTAAGAATACACTAAGCACAAATAACACAAAACAATATGCTGAACAACAACAGTACGAACATGAGTCTGTGTGAGCAGAGGACGACGAATGAACACAGCTGCAAGAAACAGATCAGCAGCATGAGATCAGCAGCATGGGTCGTTTAGAGGGTGGATACATTTTATTCCATTTCAAAAACTAAATGGAGTTTGGGAAAATGTAAAAGAAGATAAAGGCCAGCGGCCAACATGGCAGTTATAAACAGGAAGTACCACATGTTGGTCTGTGTACAAAGGTAACTGCAGGTGAATCCTCCATTGTCATTATTACACTAACTACTGGTTGAATTAAAGGTTAAAGCTAGTTGTGCTTTGGTTTGTGTGTTTGATATGAAGATAAATGTTGTAACTTGTGGTTGTACAAGTTTAGCCTTTGCTTGTTAAGATCAGTTAAAACTGAACGGATTTTGTACAAAGTGTTTAATAGGCTGTGTAATGTAAAATTTACTTGCATATTGAATTTCACTGAGGTCTTGTGCCGTTTGCTCTGTGGCATGAAAACATCCACTGCAGTAATTATATGAAGTTATTAGTAGATTAGAATTTATTATCATTTTATTTTTTTGCCCATCTTCTTTGCCTTAATGTTGGCTGATAATGCAGAAATGTCTCTAAACACTGTGAGCGTCACTACCTCCTCCAGTACAACTACTGTATCTAATGCCTCTTTTCCACTGTGACGGTGCGGATCAGATCGGCTCGTGTCTCCTTGTGTTCCCATTTACTCTTCTGGACCGGCTCTGTAGGCGGGGACCAGAATCCAACTGGTCTTACCACCTGGTGGCGGTAGTGCTCCCTCAAGCTACTTACTAGCCACCACTAAACGTGTTAGAAGAAGAACACCCTGAAGACTTTGTCACACATGTTGTGGAAGAGACGTCATGCTCCGATGGAGCTGTAACTTTTAAACCTGATTCATAATCCTACCTTACTGCCTTCCTGCTGCTTTAAACTCATGTGTTTTACATTTTAGTTTAGATTTTTACAATAAAGATGTATTAAAAATATCTTCACTTTTATTATTTGCAGATATGCACAAGGTTCATGTTAAAATTACAAAACATCACACTGTGTTGTAATCTTTGAAACTGCTTTTACAATAAGACTTGAAAACAATTAGGTTAAAGTTTGTCCTTAAAATTTAAAGGTTTGTCTTTTATTAAATTTAAAATCATAAATGTATTATTTATTAAATGGTCAGTTGGTCTGTGAACACCATGGGCTCCTCCTAGAAGAGCTGAAGAGGTGGCTGTTGATGTCTGTGCCTCCCTGGTAAAGCTGCTGCCCCCATGACCCTGAAGCAGATGAGGATGGATGGGTGGATGGATGGACAGATAGATCCAAAGTTAGATGGAGGGAGGGAAGGATGGATGATGGATGGATGGTGAAGGAGGAGACCATCAAACAGCAGGAGTGGTCAGTTCAGGTGAACTCCTGCCTGTTTGCTTCAGATCAGCTGTTCAAATCTCTGCAGGTTCAAATAAAAGGTGCACCAGGACTTTCAGCTGAATCTCTCGGACCACAGTTGTACGGACGATAAATGATAACTGTCCTTTCTGAATGTTTGACTGTTTTTGTGTCACTTCATCCTAGAACCAAAACATTTATAACATATTAACAGTTGAGCAGATTCTGGTAATCTTTTCTTAGGATCCATTAAAGATCAAATGCAATTGGAAATTCTTCTCAACTTCCAGTATGAATTTAAACAAACACTATCTGCACTTAACATTGTAAAATTTGTTTATGAAATTTAATGTTCAAGGACACCACTTAAGAAAAAATGTTTAATAGTAAAAGTAAGAAGTGAAAAATGTAGAAAAATAAAAACTACTGCGTCCAACTAATGATTGTGTATCTGTGTGTCCCTTGTCTCACGGGCTTCATCCAGAAGAAGACACAAGTGTTGTTCCTGCTGTGTCCGCTTCAGTTCTTCATGTTCATTCAGTGATGGAATAAGACTTTTCTTTACTGGACTCTTTTCTCTTTCTCTTCACCAGAAACAAGAAACAGGTGGTTAATTCAAGCTACATACTGTTGTTGAATAAATGCATGAAACAAAGAAAGGTGCAGCTAACAGCTATAATAGATATATTAATAATAATAAACTGATCAAATAAGAAAATGAAAAATAAATTGATTTAAAAATAATGAAAATGATAATAATGGATATATGAATCAGAAAGTATTATACAGATGCAGATATTCTTTATTGTCATTCGCACCTCATGTGGTACATGTGGTGGATCAAAATTATGTACACAGGGTCCCAGTTACATCCAACAATAAAATATAAAATAAAAAGAGTAATAAGATCTAAGAAATGAACTAAGAAAAACGTCAACTAAAATTATGATAAGCTCTAATAGCAGAAAAACAATAAACACAATACGCCGAACAGCAGCACGGACATGAGTCTGTGTGAACAGATGAGCACGAATGAACACAGCAACATGAAACAGATCAGCAGCAACATGAAACTGATCAGCAGCAACATGAAACGGATCAGCAGCAACATGATTATCCTGGTTAGATATTCATGAGGCTGCACAAACTCAAGTTCATGTTGCTGTTTGATGTATTGTTTTGTTTGTTTACTGCTATTAGTGCTTAGTGTTTTATTAGTAGATGTTTTTTAGTTGATATTTTTCTTAATTCATATCTTAGATCTTATTACTGTTTTTATTTTACATTTTGTTGTCTGTAACTGGGACCCTGTGAACATAACATACCACCACATGTTCAACATGTGGTGCGTTTTCAGTATTCATTCAACATTTTATTTTATTTTTTACTTTAAAAATAAAATAAATCAAGTCCTTATCGGCACAAATAAAGTGATGTGGAACATGTTGCATCTGTTCTTACCGAGCACAGAAGCTGCAGCGTTGTGCTGCTCTGTGAGGTGCAGCTGGGCTGTGATGGAGCTCTGTCAGGTGTAGACTCCTCTGATGGAGCTCTGTCAGGTGTAGACTCCTCTGATGGAGCAGGAGCAGAAGCCGGGAGGCTTGGAGGGTTTAATGTGGAGTTTAGAGATGAACCTTCACGTTCTGAAATATGTTCTGGATAAAATACAGTGAGAAACGGGACCGGAGGACAGTTAGCGTTTATGCAAATTAGCTTAGCATCGTGGCACCGACGTTGTCCTATTATGGCGTCAGCCTCTTTTGTTAGTTAAAAATATGTTCAGAACCGATGGGATGAGTAACTTACAATATGTTTAAAGTTAGAAAACACTCACCATCTTCTATAAATGATTCAAGTAGAGCAGTAACCGTGTCCAAACCACCCTCCAATCCTCCATCTAGCTCGCTTTGACTTTTTTCGTCGGCCACCAAGCACAACAACACCTGCACTTCTTCATTTAACCACGGCTTTGATATTATTGTTGTTGTATAGCTTCAAAATACTAAAAGATACGCTGCTCGTGTTATTGCTAATGGCAGGCGGTAGGAACATGCGATATGGCATAAAATTCATATCACGATATGTATTGTGAAGGGTGGTGATAACGATATATGTTGCAATATGTTTTTGTATAAAACTTTATAGGAATTTTTAAAAAGCATAGGGTGTCCTTTTGCCTTCATATATTTTGAATTAAGAAAATTCCACTACTAGGTCCAGAGAGTTTTTAAATAATAAACAAATCAAGTATTAGGCTTCTTGCTTGTAGTGCAAAACAGAGCAAAATATATCAAATGTAGTTTTAGCCATATGTTTTAAACAAAAGAATATGTTGTTAACTCTTAACAGTTTCCAGTCTTAATAAATGAAGAGCAACAGAGCAGCAACTGAAACACTTCACCCTCCAAACCTCTAGTGGGCGCCTCCTGCTTTAATGGAGAGTTGACACAAAATGAGTCTGTGGCTCTGACCAGAGGGTCTCTCAGTAAAATCACACAACACAGCGTTCTTTTACAGATCAGAGAGCAGGTTTCTCTAAAGATGACCAACGCTTACTTTAACTTTTGATGGGAAAAACAACAACTGTCGATGGAACTCAGCATTTTGCGCATGCGTCAGAATACGGCTACACTACGGCAAGCCGGACGTAGTTAGCTTGTAGCTTCACTACTTAGCTCTCGAAGAAAAGACTTTAACGCCACTTGCGCACAGTTTTCAACAAAAAAAAGTAACGATTAAATCTGACAACTCTGATTTTACATCAGACACAGCGTTACTGCAGTTAGCCGGTAGAAGACAGATCTCTATTGTAGGATAAATTTCTATCGGTTCTACCGTTTATCGTATGTATCGCGCATTCCTAGCAAGCGATAAGAGAAAAATGGCGGATCAGGTTGTTTGGAAAGACTCCACAGACCCCCCCCTCCTCCCCCCGACCAATCAGTGACCGACTGTGTTTGACGTCACGGCTCGCTTGGACCCCTTGAGAAGCCGGGCCAGAATTCTGGGGGTGAGCAGGTATGAAGTACTAATGGAAAAGACCTCAAACACGGGTAAACCGGAAATATTCGACCTGCGCCGTGACAGTAGAAAAGGGGCATGTTAGTTTGTCCGAGGTTAGCTCAGCATGGGTTACATTTCCTCGTGGGTGGATTGATCTTACCGTTCACGTAAAATATTTGATAATGTTTTTATAGAAACAATTCCTGAATGTTGTTCATACTGTGTTAATGCTACATTGTCTTGACCCTACAGTAGACCTAGCCCATTATTGGAGTTTTAATTAGGTATTTTAAGCAACTAATAAACATGATGGATGACGATCATATTGCTTTATGCTAGACCATTAGTAAGAAGGGGTGATTATTATTATTGTTTGATTCTTTTGATTGTTTAATTATTGTTTCTCTAAGTGTCTTTAAGAATCTGTTGGACTCCTGGCAGGGACCAATGCAGACATGTTCCTGTTTTTAGTTTCTACATTCACCTTAGAATCTAGCTGGGTTTTTTTTGTTACATTTTCCTTTTAGCCATCCTATTTGTAAAAAAAAACAAAAAACTGCAGTATGACTTTTTATAATTGTTTATTGTTGTTGCTGTTGTCCATTGTTGTCATCTTTCTTTGTTAAATCAGGTCTCTCTTGTAAATGAGTCCTCGAGGCTCAATGGGATTACCTGTCTAAATAAAGGTTGAATGAAAAATTATTATTGTTTCATATTGGATAGTGATTTTTCCCTAAAGCTACACTGTAGCTGTGTGAAAGAAGTGGAGTGTGCTCTATTCACACAAGGAGCGCTGTTGGTCAGGTTACTTCATGTTGTGCCATTAACTCTAAAAATATTTATTTCAGTAGAAAATCATAAAAAGCATATAAAATTCACTCATTCATTCAACCTTTATTTATACAGGTTAATCCCATTGAGCCTCAGGGACTCAAAATATAAAAACAAAACAAACAAACAAAAAAAAAGTCTAGACTCAAAAATAAAAAGTAAATGGAAGAACTGATATAAAAATAAAAAAGCTACATTATAAATGGATATAAAATACTAAAAACAGGAATGTGTCTGCACTGGTGTTTGCCATGAACTTAGCAGATGTTTAAAGTCCCTTAGAGGTCAAGGTTGAGAGCTTATTGAATCAAGTGTTACTTGTGTTGGTCAAATTAGATGTTTAACAACCGTTAAAATACACCAGAATGCAGGAAATAGCATCTAGTTTATTCAGAATTTTCTGGGGGACAACCCCCCACACCCCCACCAGTGTGTCCCCCCACATTACAAATGCTTCTGACACCAATGGCCACCACGATGCTGAACAAGTACACATACGTGTTCAAAGTGAACTCAGTTTTACTCGGGGTTGGTGGTTTGTTAATCGGGTGGTGGTGGCCTGGGATGGTATCAAATTCCTGGTCTGGATTATTGTCCCAGTCCCCCCCTGGCATAACATGCATGTTTTTGGTCTGTGGGAGGAAACCGGAGTACCCGGACAAAAACCCACGCAGCACGGAGAGAACATGTAAATCCATCCAGAAAGGCCCCTGACCGGGATTTGAACCAGGGACCTGCTCGCTGAGAGACAGCAGCTCCAACAACTGAGCCACCGTGCTGCCCAGACACAAACATTACACAATAATGGGCCAGTGAAAAACCTGTTGGGCCTCAAAGATTTACTTTTGTGATTTCCAAGAATCAGATTCTGTGGATTGTGATGAAAAATCTTTGTAACTTTGTTCCAAATGAATTCACAGCACATGTCAACCTCCCCAACATGGACTGCTTGATCTTTGTGGAGCTTATACACCATGTGTGACATGTTTACTTTGAATTACATGATTCTTACACAACATTTAGTTAATCATTTAGTTAACATCAATATTCTTACCCGGGCAGTGACGTCCTTCGCTCTGTACTGAGTCTTGGAAAATACATCTATCAAATCCAAGAATTCTTGGCTCTTTCTGACCGACAGCCCGGTGGTCGTGAAGGAAGGAGAGGCGGCCATCACAGCGGCCTCGAGCCGGACCTGACCTCCTTCAAACACCGCGGAGCCTTGTCCGCCGGGACGGAAAGAACGAGCAGGCCATCCCTTCCCGGCGAGCTTTTTCCTCACTGCCCGCTTGAGGGGGCCAGAGCCGGGGTGTCCTCTTGAATTCAGGGCAACGGCGAACAGCACCACCACCTCCCCAAACACAGACAGGCTGCTCGCCTGTCACAACCACACACCGGCGCTGCCAGCCGTGTAGCACGGTTAGCTCTGCTGCTAGCTGTCGGTGTAGCACGGTTA